TTTTCCTGGGAAAAAATCATTCCTGCGGCCGTTCAAACCGCGCTCAAGCGCTTTTGAGCGCGGGATTGAGCGGAGCTCAAAAATTTGAGCTCCGACACTGCGCTCAATCAGCGCGTGGTAACACAGTATCGAATCGATAGGATCTTGATTGGTTTGGTTGATTGATTGATTTATTGATTGATTGATTGATTCTCTCTCTCTCTCTCTCTCTCTCTCTCTCTCTCTCACACACACACACACACACACACAAGAGGACACAGCCACACACAGCAACCCCAGCCTGGCCCCTTTTTTTTGTTGATTTGTTTTAAATTTTTGCATCTTCATTTTTTTTAAACACCTAATTTCCCAACAAAAAACAGAAAATCATTTTTAAAAAAAATACAGCACAACTCAGGGACCATATCCCTCATGTCAGGCTCATGATAAAAAATGTCAAGAAAAAAAATCCTGCTTTTCTTTTTATTTATTTTCTAATATTTTGTTTAAATCGAATTTCGTTTTTCATTTTTTGAAAATCTTAAATGAAGTCGGATTCCGAAACAAAAAAAACATAGTCCTACACCCCTATATTTTTTATTTTTTTTTTTACATATTTTTAGGGGTTAAAAAAAAAATTGAAAAAAAACAGGCTGCGGACTGGGCCTCATCGGCCGAGGCCGCGGCTGACTTTTTCGGCCGCAGTGGCCGAAATACCCGCGGCCTAGGCCGTGGGTGTCACAGAGCCGCTGCACTAACTATCCACTCTCTGAGACTCCAAGTAGCGAGTGCACTAGCAGACACTGTGACAGCGCTAGAGGACACGGCAGGATTTAGATTTCTCCGCTCAGACTGCAGGCTGGGTACTCTCTGCGTTTTGTGCCAGCTATCCGAGGTTTTTTGGATGGTGGAATATGAGAGTGCAGCCACGAAAAAGGGTCTCGCTCCACTACTGTCCGCTATACACAATTTCGTATAGTTATCGTATAGCTGTCAGACCGCTCTCGAAATTGGGAGAGTGGAGAAATATGGCCAAGGGTGATTGTGACAGCAAACAAGGACATTGTCAAACAAATAAAACAAATAGTTTTCAGAATAACACGGACAAAAGAATTTGAAATCACACAGACATGTACAAAATTTAAACGAATTCCATGCAGGTCTTTTTCGGGAGCCCAAAACCAAAAAGCTTCTGACGTGGGTGCTTTGCACCCATTATCCTTTCCATGAACCTCCTCTGGCCAGTGTTTGTCCTCCTTCCCTCTTCACCCGAATAGAACGCCTGCTCATTATCGCTGCTATATCTGGACTGAAAGTTGGGCCAAATGCAGCTATAATGACCGGGCGTTGTATTCGGGGGAAGAAGGTAGTTGTTGCTGTCAACACTGCTCTCCCTCGCTTGGCTGATAAGGACCCCCGTAGGTGACCGGTGGTGAAACCTTTGCAGAATGATCCACGAGGTCTGTTGTGTGACATGCAGTCACATGCAGATTTCTGGCTGGAGCGAGGCCTGTCGTGTGACATGCAGTCACACAAAGATTTCTGGCTGGATGACCCATGAGGTCGCCCTCATCGGCCCCCTCATCGCCGCATGGTCAGCAGAGCTCCTCGTCGCTGTGGGTGAGGTCCTGAAGCCATTCTCAGCGGCGGCGGACCGGCGGTCGTGGCAGCTCCGCGGACGGTCATATAGGAACTAGTTGCATATAGGAAACTAGTTCCTATACTCGCCATTCGCCAACATTACGAATGCACCTGGACTCTGTCTTGTCCAGATGCATGCAAACTGTTGGCGGATGGCGAGGAGTGCAACTAGGCCGCATGGCCTCCCTTCATGATTGACGATCGTGCAGCAGACTATCAAGCACTTTTTGCCCCTCTGATTCTCTGAACAGTATAACCCGATGATGCTGCATAGGTGGCTGTGTCGGAGTGTGCTGAGCACGTCCAGCTTCTCACGTGGCACTGCGGGAACTTGCCCTCCGAGAGGGCTGGCCCTTCCATCCTCTTGAAGGCCAACTACTTGAGAGCTGCCGAGCCGTCCCTTGTACACATCAGCTGTCCCACGACTCCCCGGCAATCGCTTGGTGCTAAAGCCTAAAGACGCTGCACGCTTCAGAGACCGCCGCCTGGGAATCCAAACGGTTTCCCGGGGAACAGCCAGAACAAGATAGCTAAGGGTACACAGAGCAACCACCAGAACTGCACACACAACTCCAAGTGCAATCCAGATGCGCACTGAACGATGACGTTCAGGGGGATGAGGGGGCGTGCAAGGAGGCAGCGCTGATGTGTTCACACCAAGCTCCAGAATATAGTACATCGCTCTTCCTATATAAAGCACATCGTCGTCTGGCGAGATGGCCATTCCCAACAGCAGAAAACCGCTCCCGCGGTCTGTACGGCGTGCCGCAGCGACACTACGAACACTGATAACTGGGCCACCACTATACTTGAATCTGACCAGGTGCAGTGATCCGCCGGCGAACTCTGAGACAAATAAATGGCACCCATCGGATGTCAATGGCACCCATCGGATGTCAATGCCAGCCCTATAGGCTCGCGAAACTGCGCGCCGATTCCATAAGCGTCCGAGCTATTTGGAAAGCCCCTGCCGGCGATCGTCTCCACGACTCCAGAGGACGTACTCACCCGTCTCATCACCGAGTTCTGTCGATCTGCCACGTACAGGTGCTCGCCGTCCGCAGATATGGCGGCCGAGCTGACGAAGGGCTCATTGAATCTCACGGCCCTAGGATCATCGCTGCTGTCCTGAAGGCCAGTGAAGCTCCGATCAGGACCAATCCACCTCTCAAGCGGGGCCTTCCCTCCATCGCTGAGGGAAAGGTTCATTACCACTGTGGCCTTCCCTCCATCGCTGAGGGAAAGGTTCATTCGGTACAAGGCCGTCTGCGACGATCCGTACAAGATGCGGCGCTTCGAATCCCAAGACAAACTCAGGAATCGTGATTCGTTCAGAGTAACCGGCATGTACCGAGCGAGAGAGAACAGAGGACTCGAACCGTCGTCTACGTTGTAAGCACGGAGAGAGCGGTTGTATGGATCGTCGACTACAGCAATCCTGTTCAAGCCTGTTGATTGACCGATGTCATATTATTCACCTCCAGCATTGCAAACGCTTGCGAGTAGCCGCGATCGCCTTTAGGACGCCAAGGTCCGGCGACTCGTGAAATGTTGCCTAGTACTCTTTCCGCTGGCTGTTTGTCGACCCTCCATAGCCCATCGTTCACAAGGAAGAACAACGACCGGTCCTCCGGCGAGAGCGACAGGGACCACACGTCCGACCACCATAGCGAGGACTTGTTGTCGGGCACGAAGTTGCTGATTGGATTGCCTCGAATGGTCAGCAAATTCTCGTCGAGAATTTCAAGTTTTTGGCCGCTGGTTTCCTCAGAGACACTTAGTCTACCTGCGAGTCGCCGCTGCAGCTGAGCCACCCTCTTGTCATGGTGATGACGATGACCATGACCATGCACATGATGGCGATGGTGATGATCATAATGATGAACGTCTCGCTCCTCAGTCCAGGTGTTGTCATCTGCCAGAATCCCACTGACGTTATATTCTTTTAACACCGTCGGTGAGGGACATGACGGTGGCTCCGAGGAGGAAGAAGAGGAGGAGGAGGGGGAGGAGGAGGAGAAGCAGGAGGAGGAGGAGGAGGAGAAGGAGGAAGAAGAGGAGGAGGACGAGGAGGAGGAAGAAGAGGAGGAGGAGGAGGAGGAGGAGGAGGAGGGGGAGGAGAAGGAGAAAGAAGAGGAGGAGGAGGAAGAAGAGGAGGAGGACGAGGAGAAGGAGGAAGAAGAGGAGGAGGAGGAAGAAGAGGAGGAGGACGAGGAGAAGGAGGAAGAAGAGGAGGAGGAGGAGGAGGAGGAGGAGGAGGCACGCCTCCTGCTCCTCCTCCTTCTCGTTATCACCATATCCACATTCGTTATCATCATCCTCGTCGTCCTTTCAACTTCGCAGTGAGTGTCCTGACGAACTCGCAGTGAGTGATTAACGTATGCACATACGTTTTCTGATCTGTTATCGACTTGTCTTCAGTGTTTCGACTTCGTGGAGGCCATGGAGGAGAAACCCACTGCGCTGAAAGCGTGAAAGGTAGCATGGAACAAGCAAGTTTGCGGCACAGAGTGGCTTCCCCCGTATACCCGTCCGTTCATACTCTCCGGCCTGTCGACAGCGACGACAGGAGCACACCGATCTATGGGGAAGTTGCTGACAGACAAAAATCCAGAAAGGAAAATAAATCGCACATTCATATGTTGTCCTCCGAACACTGGCATCGAATGAAACAACCGATTCCGCATACAGAATACCAAAGAAACTTGCCAGTAGTTGCTACTGATAATAATCTCCTCCTACCCCCTTAATTGGGAAGCAGTCGATGAATCCTGGGCGTCGGGCGATGCATTCATTCCGACTCAAAGCAACGGACACACATGTCAAAAGATAAGCAAACACGCTGCCCGATAACTGATTTCCTCTCTCTCTCTCTCTCTCTCTCTCTCTCTCTCTCGCGCGCGCGCGCGCGCCCGACTTGTATGTCAAAGGATAAGCATATTGGGTGCGTGAAGATCGATTTCTTCTCTCTCTCTCTCTCTCATTGTAAGTCTTTAAAGCCTGGCATTTAAATCAATTGCGAAGAGATATGGATAACACATGTAATAAGCAATATAGATCGATAATAACAAGCAACAAGCATGACTCGTTAAAAGTACCTGTAAACGTTGCCAAACATCATCCTATTCGTTTTCTTCCCCTTTTTCAGGGATTTGCGATAATCGTAGGGAAAGGACAGAAAGAAGGAAAATGAAAAAGAGGGAGGAGATAGAGGCTCCTAGACCAGCCGGCAGGGCAACCAATAAGGACCCAATTGGCATTTTCACGTGTTGGCGGTGCTTCCAGCTAGTCCGGACACTGCATTTAGTTTTCAACTCCTCACCGGACCAGCACAGCAAGGATCCGAGTCCACCGGAGGCCTAGATTAGCCAAAAAGAGCGAAGATGCACTAATGGGTCGATGGGAAGCAACAAGTACGAATGGACGAGATGGAGAAACGCGCCATAATCTTGTCAAACAATTGTCCACGGCAAACGAAGGGCATCGATCAATTTCCTCTCTCTCTCTCTCTCTCTCTCTCTCTCTCTCTCTCTCTCTGTGTCTGTGTGTCTCTCTCTCTCTCTCTCTCTCTCTCTCTCTCTCTCTCTCTCTCTCTCTCTCTCTCTCGATTTAGGTGCTGTTCTTCTTCTTGTTTTTTTTCTTTCTTTTGGTCCGATGAACGACTAGGATCAGATATTAAACTGATCAGAACAGATGCTACACTCGATCTTACTTAGCCAAAAGGCCGAGAAAGGTATTGCTGGGGTTTTTTTTTTTTTTTTTTTTTTTTTCAAGCTAAAATGTGCTGTTGTTCTCCTTGTCTGAGCCTGAACCTTTTCTTTTGGAAAATTACATACACCGCGCAGTTCTCTATGACTATTAATATATTGTGGTCGTTCTCTATGACTACATATCGTCAATATATAGAGCGCCAATCTATTCTTCTCTTTTTTTTTTTATAAGCAAACTATATTATTCTCTCAATCTGCGTCTCAATTGGCGTCGTATATTGTTCTCTCAATTTGAGTCGTATATTATTCTCTCAATTTGCGTCGTATCTGATTTTGTAAAAAAACTAATCTTCCTTTGGTTGGAGCTTATCCAGTCTGGCTGCAACGGCAGCCCCCGAACGCACTCTTGTCATGACTGTATCAGACCGGGGAGATAGCTCGTATACATTCACCATACAAGTGCCCCCTGTTTCTGCGGGGGGGGGAAGGTGTGAACGGGGCAAGGGGGCATTTCACCTCAGGAGGGGCAAATTCCACTTCCCAGGATTAAGTGTTTCAGACCGTCGATTTTTTTCTCCAATCAGTGGTCACCAACGCTTGATCCCGGCAGGTGGAAACATGCCCCAGGATAGAGAAGAAAGGTAGGAGAAGTAAGAGCGGTAGGAGAGGTAGGAGAGGTAGGAGGGGTAGGGAGAGGGAGGAGAGGAGAGGGAGGAGAGGAGAGGGAGGAGAGAGGGAGGAGAGATAGGCAGGAAGACGCTTTGCAGACCGTCGATTTTTTTCTCCAATCAACGGTCACCAACGCTTGATCCCGGCAAGTGGAAACACGCCCCAGGATAGAGAAGAAAGGCAGGAGAGGTAGGAGAGATAGGAGAGGTAGGAGAGGTAGGGAGACGTAGGGAGGGGTAGGAGAGGAGAGAGGTAGGAGAGAGAGGCAGGAAGACGCTTTGCAGGCAGGTAGGCAGGTGGGCAGGCACGACTTACTGCTACGTTTCGTTAGTCCAGTCAGGGCCCAACGAGACAGCAAGGGGACCAACGCCGTTAGCTGCCGTGTGCTGCCGTTTATCACCGTCTGCACCGCTTCGCCCCCCACTGCGCTTGCTGCCCGTCCAGTCGGTTGCGTGCAGAAAGTAGAGCGCACAAGATGATCTGCTGTTCTACCTTTGTTTTGTTTATTTTCTGCCAGAGGAATGCAATCCAACCCTCCCTTCCCTGCCGGAGTGGCGACTAAAGGCACGCCCGTCTTCGCCCCCGTTAAGCCCGCTAACTAACGGTAGACTTCACTGGGCGGGGACCTTGCCGATAGTCCCGGACCAGACCTCCAGACAGACGGGTGCATGGGGACCCGCCATGGGCCACGTGCCTCCATTTACTCTCAATATGTGCGTGTGTTGTGAGCGGCCCAATACCCCCTTTTTCTTTTTCTTTTTCTTTTTCTCTTTGTTTTTCTTTTTCTTTTTCTCTTTCTTTTTCTTTTTCTTTTTCTTTCTTTTGGGGAAAATTGTTGAAATTGCCCCTAACAGTTGGGGTATTTGCCAGATACCCCTAAAACACAGGGGGTACGACGACATGCCCTGAACTTCTGCTTTTGCCCCTGTAGCAGCCATGTGAAACTCTGCAATATGACCTTGGCCGTGCACTGCAGAAGCCGAGGCTCTACTTTCCACATATGCCCCTCTAGCCGGCAGCTATCTTTCTTGCATGCCCGCATTTCTTTTTTAAACGAGCTTCAGCTGCTACCGGTAGGCGGGGGATAAGAGCCCCTCCCCTCCCCTAGCAGACTTCCAGCTGGGCTCCAATTCTATTGGTGGGGAGCAACACCTGCTGGGAACCGGGTCCAGTGTCTCTTATGCAATTCGTCAGATACAATACCCACGCGACACCAGGGCCATTACCCGGCTTCGGCTAGACCTTTCTATGCAAATTGCCTCTTCCTTGATGACAGCCTCATGGCCAGATGCCTGAACACTCATTGTACTGCAAATTTGTATCTGTGGAACTCTGGACCTGTTTTCCAGCAGGTACTGCTCCCCACCAATAGATGGAGCCTCCTGGGTGGTGCTAGGGGTGCCTGCTTTGATCAGCACTCCTAGCATCTACCTGGGCTGTGTTTTNTGTCTGTGTGTCTCTCTCTCTCTCTCTCTCTCTCTCTCTCTCTCTCTCTCTCTCTCTCTCTCTCTCTCTCTCTCTATATATATATATATATATATATATATATATATCAGAGCAAGGTAGGAGTCCGCAGGGATCGCAGGCTAACTGGAATTGAGACAAAGGCATTGACAGACTGAAGGATTCCTTTGGATTTCCAATCACAGGTACAAGTAGACTAGCCGAGGGGGACAGACAGAGACGGAGGAGAAAGGGAGGGAGAGAGGAAAGGAAAGAGAGAGAAACAGAGACAAAGAAAAATAACAAGACAGAGAGGGGGAAACACGCACAAAGAGTAATTCGCAATGATCCTTTGCTTGATTGCACATTAACCCGCAGAAACCGCACGATCAGCAGCCGTCGTTTGATGAAGTCTTCATGACAAAAATCATAAAATGGCGCTATGTATGAGGTTTCGATATCCTCTCACCGAGTCTCACGCAACAACCTTGTACACAGGCGGGAATAAATGCGGTCACGGCTCGTGACCCACCCCTGTCCGAAGTCCAGCAGCTATCGATACACCATACAACGCACATGAAGACTCTGAGACTTAAAAGAGACACAAAGCGAAACAGCAGTGAGAGCAAGGCACATCACGCTTGGCGGTAGCGCGGAGCAAACGAAAGCAACATCGTGAAATTATTTCCAATCATGGATACAACTGTCCAGATGACACAGAGGTATAGACAGAGAAAAGTGTGAGGGAAACCAGTCTGACAGCGAGAGAGAGAGAGAGAGAGAGAGAGAGAGAGAGAGAGAGAGAGAAAGAGAGAGAAGGAGAGAGAAAGAGCAGATGTACAAAGACAACTGGGATAATCCTTCGGCTGGCTGGGTCGCTACCCACAGACACGCCGCGTCAGTACCCATGATTTCACCATACGCGAGAGAGAGAGAGAGAGAGAGAGAGAGAGAGAGAGAGAGAGAGAGGACTACTTGCCATGGCATGAAAAGAAACGAAAAAAGAAGCAAAAGAAGAGAAAAAGACAATGTTAGGTACATGGTGTCGTTCCGAAGGCATTGCGAAAAGAAGGCCTTCAGATGAAAAAGCGGTTCGTTTTGGAAAAGAACAAAAAGAAGAAGGATATAGATGATTCAGACTCAACAACCAGCGCTGATTGATTGCTCACTTTCGAATCTTTGATGAGACCGAGAAAAAGTGATGTGCACTTCCGCCATCTGGAGCTCCGATCAGAATGCACCTTTTGGATCTGAAATTGGTCAATTTTACAATGGTACTCCTCTGGCTATAGGTACTACCGACCTATTGGGCCTCGCTGCACTACTCTCGAAATGCACAAAAGACAAAAATCTTGGCGGTGTATCTTTCCATATTCTAGCGGAAGATTCACCCTCGTTTTGCACATTTCGAGAGTAGTGCAGGGAGGCCCATTACCTAATTTACCTTGCAATTGAATGCGCAGCACTCACTCGGTTCTTCTGCTTGGCAGACTGTGCGACTCAGGGGAGACTCACAGTACCACTTTCCAAAATGCATCTGACAGTAATTACGGCTATACCTGGATGAATCTGACTGGGACAGTGCCCACAGCTTTGTGAAAAGAGTCCCAGTGTGAGTACGCCCTCATACGGGGCTGTGAAAATGGGCATCCATCTTGTCGGGCCTCACCACACTACTCACGAAACGTGAAAAATGGCCAGTGCATCTTCACACAGACGATGGGAAGATGCGTCTTATACTACAAATAGTAGCAGATGCATATTGCCACCTACAGTCTTCCCCCCAATACAACGTACGGTCATTATAGCTGATTTAGAC